AAAGGGAAGACAAGGCTCTGGAAGAGTTGTGTCCAAGAGTACAGGTAATGCATATTGTAGAGGGAGAACTTAGAGGCAGTGAGTGGAGTTGGAGGAGTGTTAGGGAAGTCTTAGGTATAAGGACAAAGTAATGCATGCTCCTGTTAGACTAGAGTGGTTGAAATCAAGAAAGAGGAAGCAAATTGATTGTTGGAAGGAAGAAATGACAGCACCTCATAAGAAAATCAATCAAGGGATTAAGAAAAGAGAACGAAAGGGTGAAGAATGTCTCCAGACTTCTGATACATGGGGCTAGGAAAGGAGTGCTGCTGTGGTAGTTGGGATCGGGAATTGATTTTGGGGAAAGGGTTGAATCCAGGGCTAAAGCTCATTCCAGTACAACATCATTTGTTGAGGATTCACTATGGAGAAGCAAAGTGCCAGACAGTTTGGGAGCCAGGGAAAGATTCTCTGTGTATGAGACTAAGAGTGAAACTATATGCTTTTCTTGCTGGAAAAAGAGATAAATCAACCAATACATCATGTTTAAGAAAAAATGTTAACACCTAACACTGTACCAAGAAATGTTGGCTTTAGGTAGGAGAAATTGATGAATATGTGTCTCTGATTTCAGGGGATCTGCAAACAAAATTTCTATAGCATTAAAAATATATTCTGTATTCCTTGTAGTGTGTGTGTGCGTGTGTGTGTGTGTGTGTGTGTGTGTGTGTGTATGTGTATACACACATATCTCCATGTATGCCTATTTTGAAATGAAAGCATTCCTTGGTGGGGAGACTACTGAAATAACTAACAACTCGTGGTTACTGGGAGTCAGAAAAGTAAAGGAGAAATTGGAAATAACTTGACAAGAGTTATTAACTGCCGGCTTGACTGAGGGCACTTCCACATCCTCTGTCCTCACTATGTTCTGATATTTCGTCTATATGGTTTGACTGTCTACATTCACCAAATAATTTACAGTGCTTTCCATGTATATAATATGAATTCAGCTCATGGAGAAAGTGTTTGGATGACTTAAGAGAGAAAGAAAATTTAATGAGAACAGATATTTTTAAAGTAAAAAAAAAAGGAGAAAAAAATGAAAAAATAATCCCGACATTATAATATAGTTTAGCTAAATGAGACTTGTATCCCAGGAGAAAATGAGAGACAAGGCTGAGATAAAACCAGAAATAGCATTTTTTTTTTATTAGAGAGGTAAATTTGGTAAACAGCCTCTTTGCATCATTGGGAAGAAAATCCACACTAAAAGAAATTTGTTTTGATTTTAGACATTTTTTAGAAGGTTATTTTAATTTAATTAATGAGAAATCATAGGTTAATTGCCTCCAGCTTTAATGTGAGGGTATTATGCATGCAGGCATATTTTATTTATATCTCGACTGTTTGATGTACACAATCAATTCAAAAAGGGATAATGAAGAGGTGTTCTGTCCTGTGTAGAATAATAATTAGGGACTCTAGTACAGAATATTTTTTATTAATTGTGCAGCTCAGTAAACATGTTTGACATAATATTGAGAAATGCATTTGTCAAATTTTTACCAGTATTTTCCCCTGAGTTTTCCTTTCTTTTTTCTAGTTTATTTTTTTTTTTTTGGAATCTTTTCCATACTGACCCATTATTTTTTTCTAGTTCAGAGCTCTTCTAAGACTTAACAGTTTGAGTTAAAGACTTAAGACCACCTGCTAGTTTGATTGTATTATGAGATCCAGGAAATCATATTGGACATCTGGCTTCCTTTCTCAACAAGACTCACCTATGTTATGAGGCTTGGAAAATGGGAGTCTGATTATTTATTTTTTTAAATAAATGGGTAAAGACCGTATCAGTCTTAAATGCAGAATAAATGACATTGGTGACATTTTCATAATCTTTTTGTTATTGTATCATTTGTTGACAATTTTATATGCAATCTTTTGCTGCCCAGACAATGTTGATATCTTTACTAAGGATTTATTATGATATGATATCTCAGGTCTGCTTCTCCCTATGAATAAAAGTATGGTTTCCTTTTTGTTCAAAATACAAACTATGTTTCTATAATTATTGAACGCATTTATTTCTTTGTAACTGTTCTGTGGTGCTCTGGGCATCAGTCTAGTTACAGAACATTTTGTTTAACCTTGGGACATGATTTGAATTCTTGCATGTCCTCTCTACCTCTGTGCATACTTATTGAAAAAAAGTTGTGCTTACACAGTTTCTTTTTGGTGTGTGTGTGTATGTAATATGCACGTCTAGAGATTTCTAGAACATTCTTTCTTGAAAATATGTACAGTTGGGAGCAAATTTCAAGGACTTGAAAGTCCTTGCCAAGAGCGTGCATGCCTTGGCTCCTCTCATTATGTTGGCACTTGTCTCTTCTGACAATCATTTTTTCACTTTTCTATCAACTTCCAAATCCAACATCTCACTCAAGTCTTTTCCTGTGGCTAATTTTTCTACATTTCTCCTTTCCAGGCTTTCCATACGGGAATCTCAGCAGGTACAGTGTATCTTGCTTAAGCCAATTGTTTCTAATTGCCACATGATGCGGAACTTCTGTTGGGTCATCAAGGCCCAGGAATGATTCTTTGGCCCCAAGTAGGAAATACATGTGAGATTTATAGAGAACCATATTGTTTCAAATATCAAATGTGAATTTTACAGCTCTTTCTCCTAATGTCCAGTTCAAACAGAGCCGAGGTGAAAGTGACTGTGGTAATAACATTCAAATGTTGTCACCATCTGGTGCCTGTTTGGTGGCCTATGTTACATGAGCAGGTGGTCCTTGTGTATCTTTGAGTGGCCAGCTGTCCACGTCACAAAAGCCACTGTCACATTCAGTGTTAATTGGCATCTTGGTCGTAATGATCTGTGGAGAAGTCAAGCCTGAATAGACCTCAGTATATTATTATTCTTTGTCCTGAGAGCTCTGGGTCAAAGCTGACAAATATTTCTCTTTATCTTCTTTGCCTTATTTGCTATTTAAAAGACTAAAAAGGCCTAGTGCACTATCAAGTCAATCTATAAAAAACCCGAAATACACACATATTGTTAAGCTAGTGATTTTTAACTGAAGTAAGAGATCCATAAAGGAATATCCTTCAAGCAAACATCATAGAATTTATAGAAGGTCAACTGCCCATTTTAATTGCTCTGGAGATGATTCATCTACTCTCTACTTTAAATATTAGACATAACAGAAGCCCTTATAGTTTCCAGGAGGTCCCAAATCTGATCTACAAGTTGCTGAGATTTTGATCTACAACTGGCAGTTTCATAAGGCTCAACTTGGTATTTTCTGCTTTTTCAGTATTTAAGTTTCTCAAGAGAAATCCATTTCTTTAAGTGAAATATTCTGATATCAACCAGTCTTGGCCACAGGACTGGTCTTCCAAGTATGCTTACCCAGATTGACTTGCATGATGCTGCTCCATTATATGAAGGCTGATTGTTGGATGCTGTTAATACATCTTCTAAACTGTCTGGGCCAGCTCTGTGTCACGGCAGCAAGGTACTGCTTTAGAGAGGCAAGATCTCACATGGTGACCATGGTTCAAATTATTGGTCTGCTAAGTCTGATACATGCTGGGTACATGTGTTAGTGCCCAGGACTGGATGGGCTGGAGGACTGGAGGAAGAGGATTCTGATATGACCAGACTCTGGGAGGGTGCTCATCTCTATTTCTTTCTCTCTCACTCTCAAGTGAACATGCACATGCGTTATCAAAGAATAAAGAAAAAAATGAGTAAATAATATGATCATGTCTGCTGAGTTCAAGTTACCCATAAATAATAGTTTCACTTGTATAACTTTTTTCTTTTCTTTTTTTTTTTTTTTTGCCATAGGGTGCATGCACTCACCAGAGAGTGAGCGAGAGAGACAGATAGATTTAGGGAGGGAAAGTGAGAAATCACCCCTCAAGGGGGGATGGCCATACAGCAATCCCTTTTCCTCCATTCCTCTTTTGGGATTTTGGGCATACATGCACATGCACCTGGCATGAGTTTCAAGCCACTGGATCTGGTACTCGAACTGCAGTCAACCACATGGGAATCCAGCACCTTCACTGCCATGTCACATACTGGCCCCACTTGTCTGAATTTTAATTAGAATGACAGGAGCTATTCAAAATCATGCACATGCACAAAATGCTGACATTTTGGGACAACTTGAAAAAACAAACATTAATCTTTTATTTCATTCCCATCCCAGGGAGAAAGAAAACATACTTAATAAGTTAAATATTGCAGATGCAGTGTGAAATTATGTCTTTCATAGTCAAGAAGCTGACTTGAGGTGTTTGCATCAAAATAACCCAGAGATAAATCTATGACCTCATCTTTGCTCATTCTGCTTCTATGGGCAACTCCTGTGCTTGTTTCTCTTTTTATTTCTTCTGATTTCTTTAAGTGCCACACATTCTTTGTGCCAAACAATGCAGCCTTGATTATTAACTGCTTTGAGTATTTTTTTTCTCTTAATGTGTACATTTTTTTTGTCTCTGTCTATGAATTACCAGATACTCCAACTGAGGTATTATATTTCAATTACAGTCATTCATGGCTTGATGATGAAGATATGTTTTAAGAAATGTGTCATCAGGTGACTTTTGCAGTTGTGCAAACATTACACAGTGCTTTTACACAAATCTGGATGACACTGCCTGTTATACACTAGGCTCTCTGGCATGGTCTGCTGGTCCTGGGTTACCAACGTGAACAGTACGTTACTGTCCTGCATCCTGTGGGCAGCTGTAACACCTTGGTGAGTATCTGTGTGTCTAAACATAGAAAGGACACAGGGACGATATGGTATAAAAGGTAAAAATGGTATACGTGGATATACTTACCATGAGTGGTGCTTTCAGGACGAGTAGCTGCTCTGGGTGAGTGGTGAGTGACTGGGGGGTGAAAGCGATGGCCCAGGACACCAGTACACTACTGTCGACTTTGTCCACACTGGGCTACCATAAATTTATTAACATTTTTTCCTTAACCTTAGTTTGCTGTAACTTTTTTACTTTCTAAACTTTTTTAAACTTTTGTATTCTTCATAATACTATTTGGTTTAAAATACACAGATTATACTGTACAGAAATATTTTCTTTTATTGTATCCTTATTCTATAATGTTATTTTAAAATTTCCTTTTTTTTGGGGGGGGGAGAGATTTTTCACTATAGGGCACATGCGCTCGCCAGACAGACAGAGAGAGACATAGAGACAGAAAGCGAGAAATCACCCCCCAGGGGGGATGGTCATGCCGCAATCCCTTCTCCTCCATTCTCCTCTCAGGATCTTGGGTGTGCACGCACACGCGCCTGGCGTGAGTTTTAAGCCACCGGGTCCGGGAGGCTATCTGTGGTTGAATACGTGGGAGTCCAGCTACATAGCCATTATGCTAACTGCTGGTTCCTTTTTTTTTTTTTTTTAAGAAGCATAAACTGTTTTGTTAAAAATGAAGACAGAAACTTGTGCATTAACCTAGCCCTACAAGGGTCAGGATCATCACTATCACTGTTGTTCATTTCACTTCTCTTGTTTTTTTAAGAGAGAGATTTTTACTCTAGGGCATTTGTGCTCACTGGAGAGACAGAGAGAGACAGTAGACAGAAAGTGAGAAATCACTGCCCAGGGGCTATGGTCATACTGCAATCCTTTTCTGCCATTCTCCTTTGGGAATTTTGGGCACACACACACATGCGCCTGGTGTGAGTTTGAAGCCCCTGGGTCCAGGACTCAAACCTCAGTGGACTATGCGAGAGTTCAGCGATGTAACCTTGATGCTCTCTGCTGGTCCCTCCCTCTCCACTTCTTGTTTCACTGGGGCCTGTGATGCATATAACCAAGATGAAATCAAGCACAAGAAGAAGGGACATGATCGAGAGACTCAGCCAACATATCTGAGGCTGTTCCCTATGTAACATGGAATAGTGTTTCACAGTGAATGTTTTTTGTGAATAAATAAAAGGATTACACTCTGAAATAATAGTAGAGAGTAGAATGTATACATAAATCGGTAGCAGTTGCTTATTACCACCAAGAACCATCAAGTACAGTTATTTATGACCATCAAGCACTGCGTAATGGTAGGAGTGTTTACAGCAGCATCACCACAGACACCTGAGGAGTGTGTTGTGCTATGACATCACAATGGCCGTGACGTCACTAGATGAGAGAAACTTTTCAGCTTCATTATAACTCGAAGGACTATTGGTACCAGGAGTCTTCCAAAAGCTCATGGATAGTTCATATTATGAAACAACATGAATGTGGCTCAAACTTTTTTGCACCAAAACAAACTGCACTTTAATTGAATTTCCCCGCGAATGTGGTCCATCGTTGCCCTGACATCATCATGTGGCCATGACTGCATTTTTTTCCATAAATTATAAGCTCTTATTTTCATATTCTTCATTTTTTTAGAGAGATTTTTGCTATAGGGCATGTGCACTAACTGGAGAGACAGAGCGACAGAGAGACAAAAAGTGAGAGACAAAAAATCACTTTCTAGGGGGCCGACCAGGCTATAATTCCTTCTCCTCCATTCTCCTCTCAGGATCCTGGGCCGGGCACACGTAAACCCAGGTGCCTGGTGTGAGTTTCTAGCTACCAGCTCCAGGACTCAGACCACAGTCAACTATTTGGGAGTTCAGGGCCTTAACCACTCCACCACCTGGTGGCTCTGACCATGACTGTGTGTGTGTGTGTGTGTGTGTGGGCGTGTGTGTGTGTGTGTTTTAGAGGTTTTTGTTATAGGGCATGTGCGCTCGCCAGAAAGACGGAGAGAGATAGAGAGACAGAAAGTGAGAAATCACCTCCTAGGGGGAATGGCCATGCTGCAATCCCTTCTCCTCCATTGTCCTCTCAGGATCCTGGGCATGTATGCACACGTGCCCGGCGTGAGTTTAAGCCACCAGGTCTGGGACTTGAACTGTAGTCGACTACATAGGAATTCAGCGACATAGCCATTACGCTAACCACTGGTCCCCATGACTGTGTTTTGATTCCTCCAAGAACTGAACGCTGTGCTGGGTGAGTAGGAAGAATCTGGAAACACTGAATATTTAGGAAATATGCACCATGCAGGCGTGAAAGGGAACCGTGAGCTCTGTAAACAAATTACATCTCCTAGGTCAGGTTTTAAAAATGGAAATGAACAAAATAAGCCATTTGTATATTGAATATCTTCAAGATTTAGATCTCTGTATAAAAAGGTTAGACTTTGGCATAAATTGGGACATTACAAGGAAAGTAAAAGTTAGACTGTCCATCTTTTATGCATTCCATTAATTCCGAGAGTTTCAGAGCCCTGAATCAGAACTAAATGCGTTAACAAATTAGGTATGCTGAGTAGTCACATTACTCAAGTCATGTTCTTTTTCCTCTGCAGAATATTTGTCACACAGATATTTAAATGGAACCAGGACTGTACATAACCATGACATAATACTCTGTCAAAAAGAGAAAGAAGTTAATCAGGTTGGTGAGTAATCATATACCTCCTTCTCTACCCCACTGACGGGTTCCCAAGAAGCAGATTCCAAAAGGATAGATCATTATAAAGGAATAGAATTAGTGTACCTTAGCAAAATATTGTGAAATCTCAGTCATTCGTCCATGTATGATATTTTAACTTCTTTGATAATTAAGTGTTCTTTATGATCAAAAAAGTGGTTCTATTTATTGTCTGCCAAGTAATCCCAGAAAGAAAAATAAAGTATTATATTTCACTATGAAACAGAATGAATCATAACTGGCATGAGTTAAATAACTAAATTAAAATTAAATTCTCACTTGTGTTATTTGAATCATCATTGCAGGGAACTTCTCAAAAAGGCAGATTGCTCCTCTGGAGGCCTGCAAACAAGTGTAGAATATAGTTTTTGACTTTTCCTCAAGAATTTCTGCCAGGGTCCAGCCTCGGCGTGGGTGGGTTATCTCGACAGAGGCAGCGAAGGTGAACAGAAGACAAAGGCCTCGATGCCTTTTCATGCACATCCTTTGCCAGATACCCCTCAAAGATCGCTCTCTGAGGAGTGACAACTGCTAGGAATCATCGTGCGTTTTTATTGAAAATGTGTTACATGCAAGTAAAGGGAGAGGGACTACGTGTTTCAGTTATCAGCTCATAAAGTTTTAAGAATAGGGAACATAGATTCTATTCAGGGTTGGATTAAGGGTGGGTCTAGTGTAGTTCCACAATTGTAGGTGGGTCTCCATGGAATGCAGTTTTGGGAAAGCGATTCCGGTAAGCAGAGATGATTATCAGCTGATGCGGCGTAGCAGCCATCTTGTGATTACTGGGAATGGTGCTGAGAAAAGAAAATCTCAAGAATAGATATTAGTTCTTATGGATCTTAATAAAGAATGATACTTATACAGTTTTGTAGGGATCTAAAACTTAATTTGAGGAATCCTAATATATTTAACTATTTCACTTGGAGAGGGCGGAGGTGTCCTGGGCCAGTTTTGGCCTAATCCTATTTTAAGAAGAAAGGACTAAGTTTACCTTAAATGTATTTTGAAGGGCCTTCCAAAGGTCAAGATTACTTCTGCCTAGAAAGAACTTCAGCCCACCCTCTATTGTGACCATGGAGATAAAGCATTGTAATTAATAGTAAGTGATCAGAGCAAAGGGGAGTGGTCGGGGGACTTCCTGGAAGATTTTATCATACACTCAAGATGTATAAGAGAGCTATGTAATTCTTTTATAGTAGTATATTGGGGAACCAGAGGGGGTCGCTTCCCAGTAAGGCTGCCACAGTTTCTGGAGCAAATAGCAAACAGCCTTGCTGACATGCTAATTGACCCAAGCTTTGTTCCAAGTTTCGGGGGGGCGCACAACAGTGGCCTTGCCAATGTGTTGATCCGACTGGAAGCGGAGCTCAAAGGTCGGGGGAGATCAGACAGATCCTGGGGCCTCGCCGGGTCAGACTCCTCCAAATTTCAAACCGTTGTTAGACTGAGAAAAGTCTCCTTGTAATAATTGGGAGGATGTGTTGGTTAAGAGTTTTCTTTCTTGTCAAATGCCCACAAGGTGGTATGAATACAACCCAGGACAGCAACAGAGGGAAGTTTTGAAGAGAGTTGTGTTAGCAGACAATGGTAGAGATGTAGCAGAAAATAGAAGACCTGGGAAGTATAAGACTGTGAAAAAAAAATGATTTGATATTATAGAGGAAAAGCAAAAGTGTTAGGGGAAATTCTTGAGATTTTCACATTACCAAAATGTTGCGCTGGTGCTATTGCCTAGAATTAAGGCAGCTGGATCCCACGTGGGCCACTACAGATGGAATCCTAGCTCTAGAATCCTGAAGAACATCCTAGGCATATGTGAGTACGTGCCCAAATTCTTGACAGGAGGGAGAAATGGAGGAGAAGGGATCAAAGTGTGACAATACCCAGCTGGTGGGTACTTTCTCTTTTTCCCCCTTTAGTTCCTCTCTGGTGAGTGCATATTTCCTCTGGGAATTAAAAAAAAAAAAAAAGATAAAAATGTTAGGTAAAAAAAAAAAAAGAAAAGAAATAAACTAAGAACTCTAGGAAAAACAAAAAACTGTACAAAAATTAAATAAACTACTTATTGTGTTATTTGGCTATAGAGTATACAATACTTTTGGTTATAATTATGTATAACTGCCTTAACTTCTTAACTTTTAGGATAAATCTTTCAGAACAAAATAAAGACTCTCTCTCTTCATTTCTCTGTCTCTCTATTGATATATTTAGTTTTCCTAGGGTGCCTGCACTCACTGGAGAGACACAGAGAAAGAATGAAAGAGAGGAAAACTGAGAAATCACCCCTGTCCTGGGAAGGATGGTCATGCCACAATCCTTCTTCTCCATTATTCTCCTCTTGGGTGTTTTTATTTTTGTTTTGCTATAGGGTGGTTGCGCTCACTGGAGCAACAGAAATATAGAAAGCGAGAAATCATCCTCCAGGGAGGATGGCCACAGTGCAATTCCTTCTCCATTCCATTCTCTTGGGCACGCATGCACAGGTGTTTGGTGGCAATATTAAGCCATTGCTTCCAGGCATAACCACTGTGGACTACGTGGGAGTCCACTATGCCATCTGCGGTCCCCCTCTTGGGGTTTTAAAAGACACACAGAGTGGATGATTCTCAAACTGCTGGGTCTGGGATTCAAAACACAGACTCAGCTATGTGGGATCTAGCTGCCTTACCCTCCATGCCACCCACTGGCCCTGGGCTGTATATTTATCATTGAAACAATGGAATGTAACTGTCGTCACCTTAGTGATTTATAATAAAGAGGACAATGTTTGGAGGACCTAAAGTGGAGAGTAAGCTGAAGGAAAGGGCCTCCGCTAGACTGTCCTCATCATAAGAAGTGAGGAGTCAAGAGATACTGTATCAGTTAATGGAATAAAATAAAGATGTTATAATAAACATTTTATTGTATCATTTTCCCTTATGAACATAAGGAATGGAAAACCTAAAATGAGATAATGATGTATCTATTTTAAGTGGATGGTGGGTGGAGGTGGAGAGTGGTGTGAGCTGAATCTGTATTAACATGCTGAACAGTTGATGTATAATGTATAACATTTCTGAGTCATAAGTCAGTGTATAAACATACTATTTGTCAGCAATGACATAGTCATGAGAACAAAATACTAAACATGCTTTCCTCTGTGGATCCATCCTAGATAGGATTGGTAGATAGGGTGCTGTTCCTTTTCATTGTAAGTCTTTTTCTATGAGGGGATGTAAAAATCATATGTATGTGTAATTTTAGTAACTATTTAAAAACTATTGTAAAAATGGAAAACCTTCATTCCTGAGGATATAACCATTGCACACTTCTCTCTTCTGTGTGTTGATTTAAGTCACTCCAAGCCGACCAAGAACAGTTCAGCATCCTGTCAATGCTTCTGTAGATTCAGACATGTGTGAATCCTCCTTTTTCCTTGTTCTACTTCAAGAGGTCATCAATTTCAGGAGGGAAGTTTTTTAAAAAATTGCTTAATAATAAATAATATAATAAATAATGTAGTTGCATGACCTACTTTCAGAAAGCATGAAAGGAAATACAGTAAGTGTGGCTACTACTCATGATCCCCAACCAGTCAATGTTAATTTTTTTTCCCAGAAATTTCCAGAGTTATTTTCTATACACAGAAACTAACACACACACACACACGCACACACACATACACACACACACAAATACAAATTTGTAAATTATTGCTGGATTGTGAATTTTTTGGATAGTTTTAGTTTATGATCTGTTATTTTAGAGGAAAATTGATTTATTCCTAGGAAACCAAAAATCCCACTTGTTTTTCTAATTGTTATATATCAACTTGCCAAAATGTCCACTGACTTAAACACCAAGAATCTAAATATGTAACCTTCAACAAACTCATTCTTTTTTTTTTTTTTTTGAGAGATTTTCACTGTAGGGCACGTGCGCTCGCCAGACAGACAGAGAGAGACATAGAGACACAAAGCGAGAAATCACCCCCCAGGGGGGATGGTCACGCCGCAACCCCTTCTCCTCCATTCTCCTCTCAGGATCTTGGGCACGCATGCACACGCGCCCGGCGTGAGTTTTAAGCCACCGGGTCCGGGACACGAACCACAGTCGACTACGTGGGAGTCCAGCGACATAGCCATTACGCTAACTGCTGGTTCTCAACAAACTCATTCTTGATTTCAGGAGATGCCATATGCAATGATGATAAAGTCTGCTACTTGGAATGTGGTCTGTGGAACAGTAGCAGCAACATCACCTGAGAGCTTCTCAGAAATGAGGACTCTTAGGTCCAGTCCAAACCTAGTCAATCAGAATTTGCATTTGCTGGGATCCCAGGTTCCTTTGTAGGTACATTAAAGCTTGAGGAGTACTGCTCCCCAGGGTCAGGCACAACTTACATTTTCTTTTTATGACTTCCCATCTCTTGGTATGCTTTATTACTTCAAGTTTTTCTTCTTACCTATAAGCTTATGAGTAGTTCTATCCCTCTTTGACTCATGTATTTTCTTCTCTTTCAATTGGAAGATATTTTTACGTAAGATCTGGGAAGATGATGGCAATAATGCAGAACCTGATTAGATAGCAGCAGAGACTAAGTTCTACCTGGAGAACATTTAAGATGGTTGAAGCTCATCCTGACCTTTCCTGGAATCCTACAAAACCTCTGCACTTTTGCATAGATTTATTATAGTGATTTATCTGTTTGGACAGGGAATTTTGAATAAAAAATGGTGGTGGTCATTATAGTGACTCTTCTGAGAATGAAAATTCAGATAGCAAGGGAAAGCAGTGACTTTGTTTTGTTTGTTTGTTTTTATACACAAATAGTACAATATGCAGACTGCTGTGTTTTGATTTGTTTTCTTAGACATCATTATCTGTTACCACATAAAGAAACTTCCTCACTCTTCTTTTATTACAGTTAGGTACTCCGTTTTGTGGCTCAGCCATAATTTAATAAAATGGATCCCTTTTGTGTCCAAATGGTGGCACAGTGGAAAAGGTGGCTCTCTGAGAGACTGTCCCACGTGGGAAGTTTCAGATGTAGCGTCTAGAGTCTTCCCTGACTATGCATTTAGCGTAATGGCTATGTTGTTGGACTCCCATGTAGTCGACCGCGGTTTGAGTCCCGGACCCGGTGGCTTAAACTCATGCCAGGCGTGTGTGCGTGCGTGCCCAAGATCCTGAGAGGAGAATGGAGGAGAAGGGATTGTGGTGTGGCCATCCCCCCTGGGGGGTGATTTCTCGCTTTCTGTCTCTGTCTCTGTCTGTCTGTCTGATGAGCGCACATGCCCTATAGCAAAAAGAAAAAAAAAAGAGAATATCGATCTTTTTGATAGCTATTTGGATTATTTTAAATTATTATACTGTTATAAAATATTTAATAACTGGACATTTATATTTTCTTGGGTATGAAAGTATGTCTTAGAAGAAAAGTCACTAGCTTGAATGACATGACCATTAGAATTTTGATAGCTCTTGCTAAATTGTCCTCCACAGATATTTAATTTACCCTTTACATGAGGGAGACCTTGTTCCCCACTCCTGTTCAATAACAGTGTCTTATCAAATGATGAGATTTATACCATTCAGAACTGTGAAAAGATATTTTATTTTCACTCTAACTTTTTCGTTATTATGAAAAATATGTATTTTCTTACGTTTATGAGCCATGTGCTGTTCTTGTCCACTGAACTATTGTAATCATTTGTTCATTTTTATTTGATCTTCATTGATTTATTAAAGTTCTTTACATTAAAAGATCAATTTTGTTTTTCTTCTTTTTTTTTTTTTTTTTTTTGAGAGGTTTTTGCTATAGGGTTTGTGCGTTCGCCAGAAAGAAAGAGAGACAGAAAGTGAGAAATCACCTGCCGGGGGGATGGCCACTCCGCAATCCCTTCTCCTTCATTCCCTTCTCAGGATCTTGGGCACGCACGCACACGTGCCTAGCGTGAGTTTAAGTCACCGAGTCTGGGACTTGAACTGTGGTCGACTACATGGAAGTCCAGCAACACAGCTATTACACCAACTGCTGGTCCCAAGAAGATCAATTTTTAAAATGTCATATAATATAAGTATTGTTTTTCCAGGTTGCTGTTTATCTTTTGATTTTACATATCCTATTTACATAAATATGTGGTTAGAATTACTGAATTAATCTTTATTTTTATGAGTTCCAATTTTTCTCATTCCAAGGTGAGAAAAAATTTCTTTTGGTTAGCAGATGGCATGGTGGTTAGGGCAGTGGATCCTACATGGCCAAATCCCCCATTTGAGTCATGGACCTGGCAGCTAGCAAAACATGCTGAGCATAAGGACGAGTGAGTCCCAAATCTCAAGAGAAGAATGGAAGAGAAGGGTATGTGGCTTGGCCATCTGCCTAGGAGGGAGATTTCTCAGTTTCCTTCTCTGTCTCTCTCCAAGGAATTCATACACCCTATGGCGAAGTTAAAGAAAAAAAAAATTCAGGGACTACCAGATGGCATAATGGTTATGTTGCTGAATTCCTGCATAGTTAACCATGGTTTGAGTCCTGGGCCTGGTGGCTTCAAACTCATGCCAGGCACATGTGGGATGTGTGTGTGTGTGTGTGTGTGCCCAAAATCCTGAGAGGAGAATGGAGGAGAAGATATTATGGTGTGACCATCTGCCCCAGGGGTGATTTCTTGCTTTCTGTATCTCCGTCTTTCTCTGTCTCTCTGGCAAGTGCACGTGTTCCATAGCAAAATAAATAAATAAAATAAAATAAAACTCTCTAAAAACTGTATAATTTCTTTCTTGTTCATTGATGGTTTTATTTAGTTTTAGGTCATGATCCATTCAGAGTTCATCTTGGTTCAATGTGTGAAGTATGGCCTCAACTTGCTTTTTCTTCCCAGTGCTTCCTAGTTGTCTCTGCTATTTACAGAATATTGTCTTTACATGAGGAGCTTTTTAATAATAAAGATTCCTGGGAATCACTCCAAATATTATTTAGTAAAATGTGTTGAAACACCAAAAGAAAGTCTCTGCATATTTAGATGTACCACCATATTGGTGAATCTTAGCAAGGATGCTCAGTCTGGAGATATAGATGAGAGTATTTTAGTTTATGTAGTGAATGCTACTCAAGTGGTAGGCTGGAAACCTACCCTTGATTTGAGAGAAGACAGCCGTTCTTCTGAAGTAGTTTAATAATATATGTGCCTGGATGGATCTTACTGGTAAAACACAATACCAGCAAATTTATCTTCTGCCAAATCTCCCCTCAAATGGTTCATTTGGCTTCACACAGGTGATATTAGTAGCTTACCTTTCTGTCTAAAATATTTAAACATATTGTTTTGCTTAATGGATAATATTTTTCTCCTCCAAAATCCAAAAAACACCCTCCACTCAGAAAAGAACCCAATTTCCCAGACTTTTCTAGTAATTGGAAAAGGTCTAGACCTTTGAGATCATGCTTGAAGTCAACTCTAAATGCAATTCAATGAGTAGTCTCTGGGGCATTTGGATTATCTTGTACTGTTCTTTAGTCCCACTATGACAGTAAGAGAAAAACAAGTAAATTTGTCTAAGGACACATTTCTGTGTAGGCAGGGAAGGGGATTTGACAATTTCAGAAGATTCATTGAACATAGGCTGCTTTCTCAATGGTCTGTCATGGAACCTGTCAAAAGAAAAGAAATCTGAGTTAATTTTAGCAGAGTAATTATGCAAGAGATAGGCTCTAGAACCAGACAGCATTCTTGACTGAAGTTATTCAGAATGCTCTCCCTACCATATGTGCAAGTTTTATTTATAATTAGAGAAAAATAAGCCACTTACGAACCTAGGAAATGACAGGCAAAATCAACTTGATTTGCTGCACTTTGCAATTGCCTTGTATGGTAACGGTCTCATCAGTTGACAGCCTGTGATTAGCTAAAACTCAGCTGCTGTGATTGGCTAAGACTAGTTGCTAAGTTACCGGGATGTATTCTTAGTTTAGGTTACAACTTGCACATCAAGCTAGGTTGCGGTTTAGCATATATGGAGATGGCCTTGGACCAATTTTGTCACACATGTTCAGAGGCTCAGGACAATTTTGTTCTGTTTAAGCCCAAATATTCATTCCTGGACATTTACTCTTTACACTGGGTATCACAATAAACTTACAGTAATGGAAAGCAGGAGTTTATCCATTTGATTTCTAGCTGGAGTTCTAGCTGAGGGCTACTACCATCAGTTAATAGCCAGTTATTTTTCAACCCCAGCTACACATCAAAATTCTTAGGAAACTTTAAAAAATATTTATGTTCAGACTTCATCCGTGAACCCAAACATCTCATATGTAGGAACTTTGATCCATTCCAGGCTTCTTCCTTTGGATTACCAGCTCATTTAAATAGCAGAATAAAACAGAAGAAAGAATGGACAAGTGGAGAACAAGAAAAAACAAACAAATAAACAAACAAAAGCCTCTTCTTGTAAGTCTCTAAGACAGGACAGGAGGCTTAAAGGCTTCCTACATAGTGAAGGGTGCTAACTGGGCAGGGAAAGCAGCTAAATGGGGCTGACAATAAACCTCACACTGAAACAGTATGTTTCTCTTTCTAGAAGGCAAGTAGAACAATGCTGCATCTTACGGGATGGACGTAATTGTTTCTTCATCAGGGGACACAGTGTAGAACACACTTTCTAAAGGTAAATGCTGATATTCTCTATACTTTTCCTTCTAAATGGTATGCTTCCTCAAGGCCTTGACCTTTCTCCACAGATAACCCCACAAATACACGAGGCTTTTTTTAATGCCACAGCATCAAGGACTCCTTTAGGTTTTCTGCACGGCCAGATGCCTCTCATTTTCTTAAGGAGAAAAAAATGAAATCTTACTAATTCATAATTCACAGGCTGGAATATTTGCTAAGATTTTGGATGCTATAAACAAAGGCTTATCTTGGCTTTCCAGCTTACATTTCTAAGGAAGTCTCTAAAGCGTTTTGCAAACAGTACTTGGGCCTAAGAAACAGTTTAAATCGTGTCATTTCCAGCAGGTCATTGCCTTGTCCTGAGAATAAATTCAGTGTTGTATGCTGAGTAAACACTCGCATCACACAATTGCAAGCATTTAATGAAGCTGAAGTGCTTTTTGATTTTAAACACCGTCTGCTTATTAGACATGTACCTCTTTGCAAACCTACTCTAAGAGCATAATCTTAGTTGAGGTTGAGCAGAACTTCTGGACTAATACCTTAGCTCCCCCTGGGCAGAATAAGCAGGCCACGGGTGGGATCTCAGGCAGCTACCAGCAGGATCTCAGGCATGACGGGACTGAGTACACTTGACCTGGGATAAAGCTGGAAGGGCCAGTCCCCAATCCTGTTTAATATGGGGGGACATTAAAAATCGTGGAAAAATGGAATTGAAATATAGGGTTACTTGGGGGCATAAAGTTTCCAAGTCAATGCCCCGTTTTTCCATAATCCACATTTTCCATGAGTTTTGGAAAATTCCTCTTACTCTCTTAACGCTGTGACACCTCTTCTTTCTTTTTCTATGTTCTCTAGGAATCCAGGTGAATACGTTGAGGACACAGCAGTGCCTTCACAGCCTACGTATAAAGAGAACTTTGTCTTCTTTTTGTTGTCCAGTTACTTACCAGTTCCTTATTCTCAGTGACAGTGGAAATAATCAAATTCTGTAAAATATTGAAAGAGGTTTATTCAAAGCCAAAACATGAGGACAGCAGCTAGCCTTCAGCCCATAGTTCAGGTAGCCTCACATGCCCACTGAGGTCTACAAACCTTGGGCAGATTTTAAAGGCAAAAACCACAAACTGGAGGGGAGGGGAAGAGAGGATTATACTAATCATTTTGAGACAATTATCCTTGGCTCCCAGGACTACTACTGAGTGGTGCTAGTCCAGGGCTGGATAGGCAGGCTCTGGACAGACTTCTCTGCAGAAGTCATTGTGTCAGGTCGCAGTGGCCTTTGTGCCAGGGTGTGATTCTGGAAGAATTCTCTAAATAATAGTTCTTGTTATCAGGCATGCTAGTGTGAAAAAACACCTCCTTTATGGTCTTCTGGGCTTGGTTTGTCAGGGTTTTAGCACAGATTGATACAAATAACCCAATTTTGATTTTGGAAAACGTTCAGGGTAGTGTATCATAAAAATTGAGGGACCCTGTCAGGCATCTGAAATGCTGAAAATGGACATGTTCTGGTAATGAGGGATGGAACTTGGAACATTTTTGACTCTGCTCCCATGTTAATGCCACTTGCAAACACTCATTAAGTTCTGTGCCAACAATGTATGATATCCATGGGAGTAAGTCTGTTTAAAACAATAACATTTACATGTGTGGAATTTTTATACCTTCTTAATAGCCTTTGCAATCACATGATCCCTTTTTGTAGTTACTGTTTAAAGTTAGTGTATAAATGTCCCTCATTTAATTGTGAAGTATGAGATAAGACATTTTTTTCATTTTAGTGTCCCCACCTCCTCACGTGTAGCCCAACAGACAAAAGCAAAAGTAAAAGCAAAAGCAAAAGAAAGCAAAATAAAACATTCAATAATTATTCAAAAAATAAGTAAAAAGCAAGGATGAGTGTGTTAATTCTGAAGGCTGGATTCTGGGCACAACCATTAGCTAGAAGCCCTCGATGCTCCCCACAGGACGGTTGAGAAAGTTAACGCGGAGCTTGGCAAGGAGAAGCTATTCGATCAGTTTGAATTCTTCACACTATCAGGTCTTGAGTAGACAGCTTGTGTGGACAGTCGGACCGGGCACTTAAGTATTGTCTACTGAGTCACATCGACAGCCTTAGGTCTTTTTCTATTTCACAGAAGAGAAAACTGAGGCCTAGAGAAGAATAACTTAAAGTCCTGTGATTATTAAGGGGGCAGGACCAGAATTTGAATGTAGGGATTGAAGAGAACGGCTTGGTTCTTACCCTAGCTTTTAAGAGCAGCTGAAAATTTTCCTTGAAAGTTAGAGAAAGGGAAGGAAGGATGAGACAGATGGACAAGGCACTCACAGTGGCCGCTAACAAATTTCTGTCCCTGTGTTTACTGAGACATAATTCTCAGTGTCTCTTCTTAGCTGGTTCTCTGTGGCTTTCAAAATATCACTTAACGAGAACATTGGAGAAATTACTTGGAGAGTGATAATCTATAGAATGTGATGTAATTACTGCTCACGGCAGGGCTGCCCTGAGGAGTGACAAGGGCCTGTATTGAAGCTGCTCGTGAAGAGGACTTGAACGCTGTACCAGCTGCATATCCCTGGCTTCCTCCCAAGAGCTCCTGATGGGATATTCTCCATGATTTCTAAGACCACCTGGAGTTATTAGTCCCTGGAGGACCCCCCTAAGACCCATTATTATCCTTTCCTTTGCTCCCCAGGTGCCTTAACTCAGATTCTCATTCATTGTGAGATTGGAAATACATGCACGTGCAGGTCTTGTCTTAGGTAGCAATAAAGTGCTATTACTCCTGATCCCTAAATGTAAGTGACACAGGAAAGCTATTTCTTAACGTCAGTAACTCTAATGACTGTGTAATCGGGAACCAGAAATCTGAACTCTACTTTTTGGTTGACCCAAAGCTGTATCGTGACGGTAAAAAAACCAGAACCTGGTTTTTATGCTTCGTTTTGTTGTAGTAAATGCCATTGACACTTTTAAAATTTTTAACTCATTTTTCTATTTATTTTGGTTTTATTTGTTTATTTATTATTCTTACATTAAATCACTATACATCATTTAGATTGTGAAGGGACTTTACCCAGCATGATATACACCTCAGTCCAGCCTAATTGAAGCCACCATGCACGTCCTCGTCAACAGATAATAAACCTTATTTGTGTCCCACAACAGTCTTACCTCTCCATTTTCCCCCCAAATTTCTTTTACTACACTCTTCCCCTCCCACACTCTCTTTCCGTTTTGTCTCTAGTGTCCATTACAATTTTTAATACTTTTATGTTCTCCAGTCTTTCAGTCTCTTCCATAGAGTGCAGACAGTGGTATATGTTAAGTGGAGACAGACGATGTTCTTCAGGAGACAGGAGTTGCATTTAAAACAATAAAAGGGGACAAGCAGTTAGCGTAATGGCTATGTCGCTGGACTCCCATGCCGTTGACCGCGGTTCGCGTCCTGGACCCGCTGGCTTAAAACTCACGCCGGGCGTGTGTGAGTGCGTGCCCAAGATCTCAAGGGGAGAATGGAGGAGAAGGGATTGCGGCGTGGCCATCCCCCATGGGGGATGATTTCTCGCTTTCTGTCTCTCTGTCTCTGTCTGGCAAGTGCATGCGCCCTGTAGTAAAAACCTCTTAAAAAAAAAAAAGTGAAAAAAAAAAAACAATAAAGGAAGCCTTTGAGCATTCTTCTTCTTGTTCATTTTCTACATGGAGGCATTGGAAGTATTTTACAAGTGTTTTTGTAATAAAGGTGTATTGTAAAAAGAACACAGATGGGAAAGACATAAATTAATGTAGAAGGAACTTTTAAATAAATGTAGAAAACTTTTCACCTAGGGCACATGAGTAAAGTAATTGGCTGAGAAAATAAATGGTCATTTTCAATAATATTGCACTAACAATTTCTTAGCATCTCCATGTACACTTTAAATTTTTTATGAACTTGAATTCATTGTAGAACAAATTATTGCATTTAAATAAACATCAAAAGCTGACTAGTTATTTATTTTTACCAGTTATCTTTCCTCCATGGAAATTATGCTTCAGAATATAGTGAGTAAAACCAGAGGCAACTACACTGATTTGGACTGAGTCTGCCAAATGTATGAGGGCCGTTTCCACAGTTGTAATACTTACTCTTATGGAAGTATCATCTCTCTGTTTCATGAGACGCTTCTCTACTTGAAGTAGAAAGCAGAGTCAAAAGAATTCCAAGTGATAGAAACTAAGTTCAAAGTAGTATAAATAAAGCTACATTTAAAGGTAGAGTTTGATAATAGCTTGCATATCTCAGTTTTAACTAAGAGTTAAAATTTGGTGTGTATAAATATAACAATTGCCATACAACATAAAATGTTGGCAACCACACAAAGACCAAGGCTAGGTTTCAGCAAAAAAGAAAACTTAGAAAATACCTGAAATTAAACGCTATTTGAATTCTAAGGTCAGTGGTCTTTAGGTTTAAATACAGGGGCTTTTTAGTCATCTTTTAGGTCTATTCTAAACTATGATTAAAAAATGGAGATTTTTCTCTAAAATATATGTATTGAGACATAATTGCTTTTGCATAAAATGTTTTTGGGGCTCACGGATTCTCTACATTTTTTCAATTCCACCTTTCTTTCACCTTTTCTTTGGCTTGTGAGGATCAATCTGAGTATCTGTTTGAGTGTCATCACAGATCTCATTCTCTAAAATATTGGCTGAACCTTCTGCTTTGTAATTTTTCAAGGCCTAGAAATAATAAACCTTCCATGAATAGTCTAACTAGAGCAGGATCTATGTTTGAAAAAAATGCATAATTGAGGAAATAGAGAGATATGGAAATACAGGTTGGGTTAGGGCTGCAGTACAGAATACTTGTCATGCTTTAGAAGGACTTAGGTGTGTTTACTTATTTACCATCACGACCTCACCATGCAGCACATTCTGAGGGCGTTAATAAAGTGTCCTTGACTTTCTATCCAGAGAAGGGCTGAAACTAAGATTTGACCCCACCGACTCTGTCCAAGAGCCAATGTTCTTCATTATAATATCGTGGACCCCTTTAGGCTGGCTCAGAACATGCTTAGATACACAATACATTTTCTTTTTTATGTCTTTCTCTTTTTAAGAAAGATTTTTGCTATGGGGTGCATGTGCTTGCCAGAGACACAGAGAGAGACAGAGAGAGAAAGTAAGAAATGACTTCCTGGGGGGATGGCCATGCTGCAGTCCCTTCTTCTCCATTTTCCTTTCTGGATTTTATGCATGCGTGGACATGTGCCTGGCATGAGTTTCAAGCCACTGGGTCTGAGACTTTAACCATGGTTGGCCATGTGGGAGTCTAGCACCTTAACCACTATACCACCTGTTGGTCCCCACAATACATATTCTAATCAACCTCCTACAGATGGATAATTGGAATTTGATCTTTAGTTATGGTGCCAGGAAAATTTTATAATGGAGAAAACAGAAAATTTAATTACTTGAAATTTCAAAATATGTGGATGTTTGAATGTACACCTGACTAACCCACCAGATTTATTAGATTTCTATAAGATGTTGAGCTTTGAGTAGTGTCAATGGCATTAAGTAAAGGGTGCAGGATTCCTGGGTCAATCGACTTAAGGACCAGGTGGCACCATCCATTTTGGCAGCCTTCAGATGCTCCTTATCCCTGAATAATAAACAGTGGAATGGCATGATTAAATTTTAAATGATGGATAATTTTAATAGGATATTAACAATTTTTATTTAAGGTTAACTTCAGAATTCTTTTGGGTCTTCAGAAAAAGTCATGAGATATTTGTAAAATGCAAAAATGCATCATGACTTTTCTGATGATGCAAAATGTATCCGAAAAAAAGTATTTCTTAAACAAATACTCCTAGGGTTATGGCTACCCCTGAAAACAAAGCCTTTCCTTCAGACACGGCGAGTACATGGAAC